TCCCCTGCTGCATGTGATTAGGAGAAGAAAGGCAGAGGAGGCGAGGGCAAACAACGCATCTCCATATGTGTCGTCATGTCAACAACTGTACGTGTGCGTGCGTAAGCGCGCGTGACCAGCTCGGAGTTGTACGCCGCCGGCACGACAATAAAACAAACAAAGAAAAAATAATCAATCAATCAATCAATCAATAATGAACCTTGGGGCACTTCAATTACTGCTCGCTGACGAAACCTTTCAAGGCCACGAAGTGAGAGCTGGCGCACGTTACCAGATCAAAACCGAATCAAGTTGTCACACAGCTTGAGGGAGCCACACACACACACACACACGCACACACACACACACACACACACACACACACACACACACACACACACCTGCCAATATGTTCGGCACACACTGGCTAAGGCCAAATTAATAGAAGGCGGCCTTCTTATTGAGCTTTCTGGCATATGACGCCTTGATTGTCATCCCAAGGCGTGGATTTGGGGCCCCGGCGAGAAAATGATGACTTTGAGAAATCCGATTCGGTGGTGCCGCTTGTTTGCCGCGGGCCCAGCGTTATTGCCGCCCGTGACTTTTCCTGCCATCCACGTCAGTGTGAATGCACCTAAATGAGGTTGGCAACTCTTTCTGGTGCATAAATAATCAGAAAAATCAACGAGAAAAATCGTCATTGTTGACGAGGGCCACCTTGTCGCCGTCTGGCCTTGTTTTGCCACTGCAACCAAAGTTTCTCGACACTCGCTCAACTTATTTTGTTGGGCTGCTCGGCATGTGTTGGTCTTGCCAGGACCGCATCAAGCGGACGCGTTTTCACAGCAGCACCCTCGACTCACCGAATCGGACCGATCACTCTTCTTTGGCAGCGCCCCCCCGCCCGAGTCTGCATCACAAAGTCCCGTACTGGCAGCTCGGCCCTTTGTTGCCATCTAATGATTAACGCAAACCTTCACATTAATTCCGTGAACTGTTCCCGCCCCCCCCAAAAAATACAACTTTCAGATATTAAATGAAATGAACGTGCTATGATGACATTTTACGACTTAAAAACTGTAAAAAAAAAAAATGTACGAATACCGCTCTGATATTGACGTCGAATAAAATAGCCTTGAACATTTCCTATCCATGATCAGACCTTCTCTGTGTTTCCGCTAATTGGTCGGAGCTGGATGATTTCGGGTGTGTGACAATGAAGAACCCCCCCACCCCCCCCCATCAGAATATTTGGGGGTTATCTTTGCGGCTCCCAAACGGGGGTTGCGATAGAATCTGATCTCTGCGGCGTCCCTTCGCTTTTATCTGATACCATCGGTGACACGGGCCGGTTCCGCTCCCGCTGCCCCCCCCCCCACTCCCCCCGGGGCCCAGATAGCAATGATAGCTCACATACTTATGCTAATGGTGTCTGAGTGGGGGTCGGGAGGAGGTGGGGGGGGCAGCAATGGTTGGTGCCTGGCAACTGATAACAAACTGAGCGGGCGGGCGGAGGTTGGGGTGAGGGGTGTTGATGATGACTGGGTGGGGGTGACGTGGGGAGGGAAAGTGAGGTGGGCGAAAGGTCAGGAAGAATGCGCGAGGTGTGGCCGCTCGCTCATTAGTCGCCGTCACAGCATGAGGGGGCGCATGAGGGCAACATCAGGTCCCTTTCACATTTAAAGCCCCCCCCCACCACCCACCGCCCTGCCTCCTTCCCGATGCCGCATCTTCTTTCAGAAGCTTTTTGATGCATTTGCATGCGACAGATTTAATGAGGTCAGATGACCTGTCGCGCGGCACCAAAAAGTGATCGAAGGACTCGTGTGCTTCCTATCGGCTTTTTTTTGGGTGGGGGTGGGGGGGGGGGCCCTCAAAGTGCCTGCAAACTCACCAATTTTGGCCAGCGTAAATATCTTGGTGAACATGAATGATAAGGGTACAAAGGTCCCGACCCCGATTCAAACGGCGGTTACACAACACCCGCGCCAACCAAACGAGTGCCTGCCACGCTCCGACAAACAAACTCCACTTCAGGACGGGAAAGGGGTTTGTGGGGGGGGGGGGCACTCCCACTTTGCACGGGGGCGCCAAATAACTCTGCAAAAGGGAGGGACGCCATGCGCGCAGTTTTGCTCGAGCCGCTTGAGTGTTGACATCAATTTCAGGCTTTGGCCTTCGGTACCACTCGGGGTCAGACGGCGCTTTATGGTGAAAGTCAAAGTACACAAATAAAGGAAGTCATAAAGCAGATAAGGGCCGCGCTTAATGGCCACTGGCACGGATCACGCTTGGGTGGCTTCTCATGTTTGTCATACACAAACGTGTGTAGCGTTGCTGTCCCGAACACAACACGACGTTTTTTTTTTTTTATCCACTGACCTTTGAGACGTACTCCAAACGAGGACACGCTGTAATAGCGGCGAGGGATTTATGACCATCGTCTTGTCTCCGGGACGAGCGTCTGTTGGTGATGAGAACGAACGATGCCCATGATGCATTGCGGCTTCAAGAGCCTGTGGAGTAAAAAATGCGACAATTGTTTCAAAATACGTTCACCTGTACGTGTTTAAAAAGATTCTGGCCGGAAATGCACAAAGATTGAGAACTAGCTTGCGCTCACTTGTGGCGAGCTAGCATTGAACTGTTTTGGAATTTTTCCAATGTTGGGCTGCCGCTGATGAGCTTAGATGTCCCTCCCCAACTATGTAAGAACTTGAGCACCATCATTCGAATCTTTCTATCCGGCATTGTCCAAAAAATGTTTGAATAAACGACTTTTTCTTTTTAAAACAGTTGTTGCACATTCAAAAAATAGCAAAGGGGCGAGGGGGGGGGTGCTAATGTGATAACTCCTCTTCGCCCTCCCTCCTTTCCTTACTGATGTCATTAAAAGACGTTGGAAATTCGCAAAACATTCACTCAATAAAGCCACTTAATTGGAGGCGCCCTCCCTCGATGGCATATTTGCATAAAAGGCCAATTAAGGCGCCATAAATGGGTACTTGCCAAAAAGAAATGTTTTGATAACCCGATTTACGACGGGTGTGGCTAGATGAATAAAAATCTGAGTCAACATAATTGTGGGGCAGGGGGGGGGTGGATATAAAAGATTAGCTCACAAGGTGTTTTACAGTGGAGGTTTTTTTGTTTTTCTTGATTTGCCGGCGTTGAGGAGATGAGGGGGAGTGCATCGAGGGGGCAAGGGGGGCAGAAGTGCACCCCCCGCCCCGCCCCCCCGCCCGTTCTCTGACACACACACACACGCGCGCCCTCCCCCAGCCACTCGGACCATTGTTGTTGTG